TCCTTTTGTAATTATGTTCACTGCGACCTTCAATTTTTCCCCCCCATTTTGGGCCTTTCTTGTACGGAGGATTATGTTGTACATTTGCTCATGCCTATGCATACCTCACGGGGCTCCGTGAAATATACACTTATTATTATTATTATTCTTATCATTATGATAGGGGGCACATGTACAAGCTGAAGAAATTGCGCACGAGACTAGCGGTGCATTCGAACTTCACATGTACAAGCTGAAGAAATTGCGCACGAGACTTGCGGTGCGTTCGAACTTTTTCAGCAGCAGGGTAGTCAACGTGTGGAATAAGTTACCGCCGGAGCTGGTGGAGNAACTTTATTTCCCGAAATAGACGCATAGGTTGTGACCTGGAAACAGGGGTGGGTTTTTCGTTTACTAACCACCCCCATCCGGGGAACGCTTCCGAACGTGAGGTCTCTCGCCTGAACAAGGGGAAAAGATACTTTTTCTTTACCCTCTTCCCTTACAGAGACTGAGACAACTGAGACGTGAAGAAAACGTGTAGAACTGCAATATAGAACACTCGCAGTGGTAGGGGCCGGAACGGGGCTTACTACCGGAGGATATCTGGACGCTCGATTGGCCGTGGCCATGTCCTGTCCTGTGCAAACTGACTGACTGACTGACCTGTTAATTTTGTTTGAAATAATCGGCAGAGCAAATAAGCTTCTTAGCGCTCCGGTCGGTTTTTGCGCTGCATTTGGCGTTCGTGGCGACCACCTTATGAATTCAATGTCTGTATCCAACATGGACTACGAAGTTTACTAAAGGTGTTTATCTTTGCAATAATATGCGAATTTCTGCAGTTTGTAGAGATACTTCAATGGATGTCATGCATTTTAAAAACGACGCATTCAACATTTCTGTTGACGCAGATGCAGATGATGAGGATAAACGCCTGCATCAGGAAGTAAGAAAATTAAGATTGATATTCCATCGGAATAGTTGAAACAACTTATCGCTGAGCAGTTTGAGAACTTCGACTTGGGCGATGATGCCTCTGATTGTCCCGATGTTTCGAACGATGAAGGCATCTCTGACGCCAACAGATTTGAACTGAATACTGAAGAAATAGCTAGTATAAACGCGGCTGGTAAGCTTTCATTACTCGAAGGTGCGATTCAGAAGTTCGGGGATGAGGACACTCAGGTAATTCCTCTATAATTATCGAATGTTTATTGGTCTCGAAACTTTGGATCCGCTTTGTCCCATTCGTTAGGACAGAGAGTAGTCAAACAATTTGAGATGCTAACTTTTCTTCTAATCTCCTCAGGCGCTACAACGTGAAACACCGGTGAAATGGTTGCATAACGTGCATCTCAGGCTCTTAAGTGTCAATGAGACCATGTTAGTCAGGCCATATAATCCCATTCTGTGTGCACAAAGGTTTCTGACGCACTCGGTCAGATTAGTCTGGCTTTAATCTCTCTCCTTCCTTGACAGTTGTCTACCGAATCATTCTATTTGTCATATACTTGTATAAATACCGGATGTTTCTACCTTGTGGCGACTGAGAAGATTAAAATAAATAGTAACAACTCGCAATATTCGTTTCAGTTGGACAATACGCTAAGCCGTTTTTTTCGTGTTACTGTTTGGAATATAAATGTATCATTCAAATGAGGGAACAATTGATTTTTGAATGGTAGAACCTAACTACCGTTTTTTCGTTTGGTCCCAACCCATTCATATTTTGCTTTCCCCAGTTTGTAGCAGAGAAATATTTGCTACTACTTGCTGTCAATCATTAAAATATATGCCATTGGTTATTCTTACACTAACCTGTTGAATTTAGTTCAATACATCGACCTTTCTCTACTTTTGGGTGGTTTCAGTTGCTAGTTTTCCAATGCTCATTTGTAATAATGCTAAAGAAGTAGATGCAGGAGACAAGTAACTGAGAGCAATAGCGTGATGAAACTCATTTATTGTTCACTTTCTGTTTTCAAGAAAATATTGGCCTTACCTTTATTACCCTTCCCATAGAATGTCGGGCGCTAGATGCACGTTAACTGGTTACTCTTCTCTATAAAGCGGTCTAGCAACGGTTTGAATTGATCACTAACCTCTTCCATGAATTCCATCGGTAGAGCATCCCGGATATTGGGCACTACTCTGAATATTCGGCAGGCTATAGGTTTTCTCAATAAATCGCAATTATCAAGATTACGCAAATGCCCCTTATGCAATCATTGTTATTCTTGAAATTCAAGTGACATCCTGATGCCCGATGCACACAGTCTGACCTCAGACGTATGTGAACTAAATATAAATATACCCGGTGGCCAGTTTGCTGATAGACTGAGCTTCTTGGTTTATAGTTTTTCCTGTTTATTGAATGGTTTTAGAGAATTGATGTCCAGATGTACTGTAGTGTTTGTTTTTCTTTTTCTTTGACATTCACGCGGCACACATAAGGAGGTTGTACCGTTGAATCTAACAGGCCAGGTTAGGCGTAGAGTTTTAGGTGATCGCGGTCGCCCATTGGAGCAAGTGGTCGACCTCCATCGATTACGTTGCTTGGGGCATGTGTTACGCATGTAACCAAATAGGTTGCCCTGGCGAGCGATGTTTGCCGAGACAGGTAGCAGTAGGAAAAAGGTCAAGGGTGGTCAAACTAAAACTTGGCATGAGGGTATGAAAACCCTAACCAGGAGATTGGGTCAAATAGGTCCTTTTAGGCTCCCTGAATGGGGACCTCGAGATCATGGTAACCGATGGTTAGAGACACTGAGCAATATGACTGGGTGTTGCAATCAGTGGCGCTCGTGCACCAACTTATTCTTCTTGCAACCTCATTCTATATGAATTCTCTATCTTCTGCTTGAATTTTCTCTGAACGTTCCAATCTTCATTCTGTTCGTTTATCCAAATGAGCAGCCAAAAGACAGGAACCAAAACCGGCGCACGAAGGTACAGGGTTGATGGTTGTACAAACTGAAACTGAACTGCCCATTTGGATAAACGAGCAGAATGAAGAATGGAATGTTGAGAGCAAATTGAAGCAGAAGATAGAGAATTCATATAGCCTGGGATTGCAGGACTAATGATTAGAAGCACGAGCGCCACTGTCTGTTGCACTTATGTTACTCAGTCTCTAACCATCGGTGACCATGATCTCGGGATCCCCATCCATGGAGCCTAACAGGACTTATGTAACCCAGTCTTCTGGTTAGAGTTTTCATACCCTCGTACCAAGTCTTAGTTTGACCGCTCTTGACCTTTTTCCAACCGCTTTCTGCCTTGAGGGTCTTAGTGAGAATAATCCTTAACTCTTTTGGCGTGCTGCAGTAGCCGCAGTTTTTCCGGCTGTGTCAACTCTTACTTATGAAAGTAGGCATTTTTCGAGGTTTGGTAGCTAATCCCATTCAATAGACCATCTTTGAACTAATTTCACATCATGCTCTAGATTTACTCTAGATCTTTTAACATCATTTGCAAACGTAAAGTAGGAATTTTGATATGAATAAGGAAGATTAGTGGTCCTAGTGGTATCAATCCGCAAGACGGTGCCGGGATGAGGATAGTTATTCATTGCGAATTACGGTGAAGTTCGCAAAAAAATTGGCAACAACAACAACAAAATGTCTCATTTGGAACAAGTTTTCGGAATTTCCACAAACAGGATAAGTGATGAAACAGTCGGACGGTAGCTGCGCATTTCCTGTCTTTACAAAATTTGATCTTTCAATCCACTCGCAAATTCCGCGGGAATCCAATAACCGCGTCTTGATGCACGCAAACTGCTCACAAGTGTGAGTAGTAGTTCATAAAACTATTACTCAGCCTTGAGACACTACCCTGATTACTCCTACTGTTTCGCTAGTAAAATCGCCAACCTTTACAGAAACCGTGAGCTGACTGAGAAATTGCACTATCCAATTTATCGTTGCACTCCGTGAACCTATAGCCTGTATCTTGGGATCCATCAGTCTGTGGCTGACTGAATCGAAGACTTTACAGAAGTCAAGTTAGAAGCTTCCACCTGTCGACCTTTGTCCAATCGTACAATGGTAGGAGATGAGACGATAGTTATCGGGATTGTAAGGATTGACACGCTTTGGGATGAAAAAAGTATGATATTTTTTCCAGGGGGAGGGAAATATTGTGGTTGCCAGAAGAACAGGAAAGACGACTCAGTTTAAAAGCTAATTCCGGGTACGCCTTTTAAGGAAAATAGTTGGTTTAATTAGAGTTCCTTGATAATACGATTCTTCTCATATTTTTAGATGTTTTCAGTTATGAAATGTTTTTTAACTTACCCTCCAATAGGCATCTGAAGACACATTGACGGATCACTTACCTATCCGTTCCACGAGAACACTGGACTGTTTCCAGTCAACTCTGCCCACCCATGTTGCTTTCTCACAAATACCTCATTATGGTTCACCTACCCAATCAAACAATTCAAACTCCAGTGACAAACGTAAAACCAGAGATACCGAACGATGGACAACAGCCCCAGGTGTGCAGAAACATATCGAAGCGACCAAGGCACCCACTTTGGTTAAAAATGGTGATTCCAGGTAAGAGACTCCCACATTTTTCACCATCCATCGCGGTTTAAAAATCGATAGTAGATTCTCAACGGCAACTTACCTCGGTAATATAATAGTAAACCCTATGAGTGGTGTACCTACACAATTTTTGTGTGGTTCTCGTTGAATTGTTTTGTGTATTTCTTGATAGTACTCTTAACTTTAGATTCATTTAGTTACTCCTTCAGTAGTCTATGAAACGGAGAATTCAAACCGTCGCACGACGATACAAGGTTAGTAGTTATGGAAACAAACTGACTGGTGCAATAGGATACCCAAAACAGTTATCAAGAATTTGTTCATTATAATATGACTGGGTATACTAGGAAATAGTAAGGAGTGCTACGACGAAATACGTCTTAACTGCCGTGTTTGTACTAACCCCATCAAAGAAGTCAAACATGCCGTCGGATGTTCTTCATAACGTTCAAGAATATCTCAGACAAAATCTCGTTAACGAGCACAGGTGGGATATTGAATCATACACTTAGAAATAACCAAAGCTTACCGGTGGTGGTCTTCAAATAAACAAAGGCTGGAAACTCTGCTAAAAATTACAGGGTGGCGACAATCCTTCTGGTTTGTAGCCACTGCAAAACGGTATGTAAATGACGTTTAGTTTCTTTTACTTGTGTCGACCATCTATGATATGATGGATTGTGAGCTTCACCTTTAACTCGGATTAGAACTCGCATGTTGCGTTCGCAATCGATATCCTAAGTGCGTTCTTTTTCATAATTTTCTTGGAGCTATCGAAAAAAATCAACTTCGCGCACTTTTCGAGTTTTCTTAAGGGAAGAAGGTGGTTTCTATATGAAAATTGCTTCTTCTAATGTGCCGTTCTCCATCATCAATCCCATAGGGAACCGTACTTTGTTGATGAGACTATCAATTGGGAACTGAGCCTTCCAGGAGAAGTGGGGAACGAGTTGTTTATGTCTATGCAGAATGATCTCACCACACCTATTCCTCCCGTTCAAGGTGAGTTTATGATTTATTTACTTAGACAATAACACTTAGATTGGCTCATAATCACTCATTTGAATTTCTTCAAACAGAATTACCCCTCGGAAATTTTTGATTTCGGTGCTTTGAGATTCTAAAATAACCGTATTAGGTAAAATACTTCCATCGATGCAAAGGGTCACGACAGTCAGAAGATAAACATTGAGTGCAGTTGACCAGTCTTTGTTCACATCATAGCTAATGCGTGAAAGAAATGCTTTGTGGTGTATTTATGGCGTCCAAGAAAAGAAGATAAATCTTGCTCTGAGTTAATAGCCGAGCGGAATCGAGAATCCTTCAAGAGGGCCAGAAGGTAAATCCGATAGAAAATAAACCTAGACAAGATTTCTCCAAGCCGTTTTTCAAAACCCGCCCACAGAATGAGAAGTAAAATACCATCACTGTAGACGAAAAATTTAGCCTCATTTTCAAGTACGTTTAAAGTGCATGACCCGGGGCAGCTTTATAAAATAAAAATCTAATACGTCGGGACAGATGGAACACCCAGTTCCACCCTTAGCGGTTGAGTACTGTTCTTTAATACGTATCATGGAACGGAATAGAACAGAAGTTCTGTTCAACCCAGTTTTTACAAGCATGGACCTCGCACTGCAATGCTTGAGTTGACCGATGGAGAAGTAGAAGAAAACGAAGCTGATATCAATGCCAAGATGAAAATACAAACTATGGCAGACTACATGTATGCGGGAAAAGAGTAGATGCATGTGCACCACTATTTATAGCATTATATTTTTAACCATTTATTAGAATGATCATAAGTTTTCCAAACAGAAAGCAGAAGCTGACCTAACTGACTAAGTTCCACGATCGCAGTTTTTAAACATTCATTATAGGCCATGCTCTCTTCCATCCGTTACCTCCCTCGGCTAACACCGCACTCTGAGGACGTCTATCCGATAACGTGCGTAAAACGCGTATCAGTTGCCGCGATCTTCAGAAACCACCTACTCACATAATTATGCCGTCACCTGATACTGTTTGCTTAACCTCGGGATTAGTCATTCGGTTGTCCGGGCTGACATGTACAATGCAGCACGGATCCTCGGTGTTTGATCATCTTGATCGTGTCTCTCGCTCAGTTGAATGTCTATAGTTTGCAGAAATGATCATTATATTTTTCCACTTGTATCAAAAATATACTCCCGCTCAACATTTCACCTATTCAGTCAAATCCGATCAGAGTTATGCATCGCAATCCTTGATCTAGTAACACCGCCCTTATCAAACTGTCATTTTGTTCGTACATCCCATCGTTTTATTTTACCTCCGTTCTCGCATCTCTGGATATTTTCACCGACCTCCATAAACGCCATTTTCCACTTGTTTTATCTTTTTGATACTTTCAGAAAATAGAAGTAACTTTTATTTTACCTCCTCCTCCTCCTCCTCCTCCT